AATTCGGCTCCGCCGGCTCCCCACGAGTGGCTTGCCCTACGAGCGTCCCAGAGCGACTAGAGCTCTAAGGTGAGGCGCGCCCCAAGCCGCCGACCCTCCGACGCCGGGCCCCGAAAAACACCAAAAATCCTTCAGGAGGGTGGGGGAGAGCTTTTTGGCCGGAATCCGGGTCGCTCATAAGCGTCTCCAAGAGCAAAAGGCCCCCCCCCGTTTTGAGGGTACCTAAAATCGGAAAAAAGGGCCGTTTTGACGCCTTTTTCGGACGATTTTTCGCTTTTCGAAAGGCACAAAATGCTGTAAATTACAGCATTTTTGCGTTTTAACGTCTTTTGCGGGAGCCATGCAAAAACGCAGAAAATGCTGTAAATACCAATACTTTTTAGACCGGAGATGCACAAAACACTGCAAATACCAGTGTTTTTGAAAGCAAAGCAAAAAAACAGTGTAAATTACAGCATTTTTGGCAAGTTGATCGCAAAAAATGCTGGTATTTACACTGTTTTTGCAATTTCAAGAAAACGTGGAAGGCACGAAACACTGTAAATAGCGGTGTTTTGGCCACTTTTGGGCGCTGAAACGCTGGTATTTACACAGTTTTTTGCCCGTGACGGCGCCAAACCCCTGTAAATTACAGCATTTTTTCCACTTTTTGAACCGATGTTTTTGCCTTGATGAACGCAAAAAACGCTGGTATTTACGCGTTTCCCAAAAAATCGAAGATCGTGACGTGAACGAAACCCTGTAAATAACAGTGTTTTAGCCACTTTGGGGGACTAAAACTGTGGTATTTACGCGGGTTCTTGCCAGCTGCCAGCGCAATATGCTGTAAATTACAGCACTTTGTGCGCTGTTTATGTTCAATTTTTAAACACGCGATGCTTTCACATGTTCTTTGCATTATTTTGCACTCTTCCACAAGAAACAACGTTGCAGATTGAAACTGGACGACAGCGTGACCCGAAAGAAAGCTGGAGGGAGGAGACGCACAGAAGCTTTTACCCACACACACAGGGGCTTTTACACAGAGAAGTCTTTACAAAGGAGCTTTTTACATACAGAAGGTTTTACACAGAGAAGTCTTTACCCTAAGGTGCTTTTGCAGACCAACGTCTAGGAGCTTTTACTCACAGAAGTTTTTACACGAAGAAGTCTTTACACAGAGGACTTTTTACACACAGACGCGTTTGCACACAGAAGCTTTTACACAGAGAAGCCTTTACACAGAGGAGCGTTTACACACCAAAGCGTTTACACACAGCAAGCTTTTACACACGCAGGGGCTTTTACACAGAGAAGCCTTTACACAGAGTATCTTTTTACACACAGAAGGTTTTCCACAGAGAAGTCTTTCCTCTGCGGAGCTTTTTCACACAAACGTCTTGGAGCTTTTACACACAAAAGCTGTTACACAAAGGAGTCTTTACACAGAGAGCTTTAACACACAGACGCGTTTACACACAGAAACTTTTACACAGAGAAGCCTTTACACAGAGAGTGTTTACACACGGAAGCTTTTACACACAGAGAAATCTTTACACAGACGGGCTTTCACACAAAGAAGCTTTCACACAAAGAAGTCTTTACACAGAGAATCTTACTTTTACACACAAAAGCTTTTACACAGAGAAGTCTTTGCACAGAGGCGCCTTTACACGAAGTAACAAGTTGAAATCGGCAGCAGTTCTTTAGGAAAAACCCTTCGCAGGAGCTTTCGGGAACTCACTTGCTCCTCAAAAAACGTCTATTCCAACAAATATGTTCCAAAAAACCTAAGGAATATACTTATTTCTGAAGCAGGTCCTCATTCAGTAACTTTCACGCCCTCACTGCGATGAAATGGAGGGCCGAGTGGTCCGGCGGAGCCGACGAGGGGCGTCAGCCCAAAAATCCGGCGACGCCTCGCCGTGTAGTGTGGGGAAGCTAAGCATAGCTTTAGCTATCCGGGGGCGCGCCCCTGCCGCCGACCCTCCCCAAAAATCCTTTAGCCTGGTGGGGTTTTCACGTTTTTCGGGGTCTGGGGTGGACAAAAAGAGGGTAAAATTTGAAGATGCGTTTTGGAGGTCCCAAAAATCGGAAAAAAGTACCGTTTTGACACATTTTTCGGACGATTTTTCGCTTTTCGGAAGTCACAAAATGCTGTAAATTACACCATTTTTGCGTTTTAACGTCGTTGGCGGGAGCCATGCAAAAACGCAGAAAATGCTGTAAATACCAATGCTTTTTGGACCCGAGATGCACAAAACACTGCAAATACCATTGTTTTTGACAGCCAAGCAAAAAAACATTGTAAATTACAGCATTTTTGGCGGGTTGATCGCAAAAAATGCTGGTATTTACAATGTTTCTGCAATTTCAAGCAAACGTGGAAGGCACGAAACACTGTAAATAGCGGTGTTTTGGCAACTTTTGGACGCCGAAACGCTGGTATTTACGCAGTTTTTTGCTTGTGACGGGGCCACTCCCCTGTAAATTACAGCATGTTTTGCACTTTTTGAACCGATTTTTTGTCTTGATGAATGCAAAAAACGCTGGTATTTACACGTTTTTCAAAAAATCGAAGATCGTGATGTGAACGAAACTCTGTAAATAAGAGTGTTTTAGCCACTTTCGGGGACTAAAACTGTGGTATTTACACGGGTTCTTACCATCTCACAGCACAAAATGCTGTAAATTACAACACTAGGCACAGGCCATAGGCCAACATAGCCTCAAGATGGGCCAACATAGCCCCAAGATGGGCCAACATAGCCCCAAGATAGGCCGCCGACCCTCAGCATGTCATGTTCGCAAGTTCAGATGACATCCCCCTCTCTCTTTCCCTCCCCCGACCCCTACCGGCGTCGCCGGTGTGCGAAGCTCTACAATTAACATCTTATAACATCTTGTAACATCTTGTAACATCTTGTCCTAAGGCATGAATGGGTTTATGACCCACTTACTAACCAGTTCACTAACTCCATGTCCCATCTAATGATCAAAAGAGAGACTGTGGAAGCATCATACATCAATAATCCGATTGCATATTGTACAAATCCTTTTACACTTCCTGCCTTGGTTGCTCTGGATTGCGCGGAATACAGAAATACTGCTTTCAAGTTGGCAAGAAAGGATATGAAAGGATTCATTATGATTCAACCTTGATGCCGGTTTCTTTGCAATAACAGATAACACCAGAGTGATCAGAGTTTCGATATCAACTATCAACAAATGTGGGACTTACAATTCGCCGATCACGTGGTGCCCGAGTCTGCGTCTTGCCACATACAATTCGGCTTTTCCACAAGTCAAAAAGGCAAACGAGGGAGTACATGTGTGAAAACATGTGAAAACTACAGTATGTGTTCTTATGCACTCTACTACGTATGTCGCGCAAGGGACTATGAAATCGCATGAAAATGGTCTTGCCTAGCCACCAGTCTTGCCCAGGGCATTCTTCAAGCCTGCCTCTTCTACCATTGCCGACACGTTTCTTTTCACCAGTTCCAGATTGTAGTGCTAGTCCAGAAGGCAACCATTGGTTTGAATATGGTGCAGGCAAGGATCATCAAAAGCAGTGCATTGCAGAAGCCACTGGCTGAAAATGCCCAAACCCATCGCGGAAGCCCATCTCGTGGCCCATTTCTCGGGACGACTCAGCCGCTGACATCATTGGCTGCAGACTACCCGGGTTTTCAACTTCGGACTTCGTAGCCACAGCCAGCTGCAATATCTCCCACTCGAAGGTCTGCAACTTCCAAAAAGAATCGATGCTGAGTCCACAAGGTCGCCGAGAGATACGAATTTGCTGGGCCACTGGGTGCCATGCAGACGGGTAAAAAAAAGGGATTGAACTAGTGAGGTGCTCTCCAAATTTTCAAGAGGCCAGACCGTCAAAATGCGTGTTTGCTTCCCAGTAGAGTCCGTCTATATTCTGACAAAACAATGGACCCCAAGCAACTCCGGCACTTCTTCACAAGCTACATCAATTCATCGGTGTAGAAATACCCTTCTGATCCCTTCTGCATTCTGGCACACTGTTGCATTCATGTTACATCTCAGATTTATGCTTAAACGACCAGCCATCCTCTCCACACCTGCAGTTGGCAAGTATCCCATGTACCCTGGGGCCCAGTATGGTCCAGTTTTTTCTTGAACGATTCTGCCCTGCCACCAGGACCCTCTCCAAACTCAGCAGTGGGGCCTTTGTTATACTTGGTGCCAACGACGCTGGTGTCTACCTTTGCCATGAAGTCCTGACAGATCAGGGAGCGCTGTGAAAATGATTGAAAATGTCAGGCTGAAACACAGCTTCAGAGCTCCTTCAGCAGAGGTACGCAAGCTTGGGTGTACAAATAGCCTTGGCCATCAAAGAACTTGCAGCTTTCTTGCCATTTAGATATTGTTTAGAGAGAGAGGGAGAGATCCATTTGGATCTATTTCTACAGATCCATTTGCAGTGAGGAGGTTCTCAACTTGGAAGGTCACCCAAATCAGAGCTTCTCACAAGCAATTGAGGATCCAACAACCATACTCGGCAGTGTCAGAAATGACCTTGTTCATCTCGTAGAGTTTCCTGAGTTCACAAGGTGTTTCAATGGCTTTCTGCTGTCCTGTGATTTCTCTGGAGGTTGGCCATTAATTGACAAAACGGTACAAATTAATTGAAGGTGCAGCAAACAAGGCGACTGAGCCATTTGGGAATGCCACCAGAAAAACTCGGAGAAGGAAATGAAGTTAAATTCAGAGTACAGATGTTGCCGGAATGTACATCAACATTTACCTGGGAAGCTTTCCCTACTGGACCTCCGTACATCAACGGCGGGAGAAAGTTACCTCAATTGTTTTGCCCCATGTAACTCCGCGCGATCCCTGTCATATGTCTTAACAACGGGGGTTTTAATTGCATCAACTGTTGTAGTTACTATGGGGGGAACATCATATGGGTAGACATTTACATGTTGGCTTTCACCGGTTTGTTGAATCCTTTCCGCATGCTCCAATCATTCTTGCGGTGAGCATTCGATTTCAAACATTCAGGCCCGTCAATGTTTCCAAGCTCAAACAGAACCCTGACAGCTTCAATCATCTTTTCCCCATCATTCCAGTATGGCAAAGGTATTTCAGATTTATCTTTTTTAGCCAAGAAACTTTCTTGCGATGGTGTTGGCGATAAGAGGCGTCTCATGCAAGGATTCGTAGTAGGCACTCTCGGGCTTCATGCCAACCTCTCCATCTCAGAAACATCCATGTTCGCACAGTCTGCATCAGAAACCGCTATTGAATGCTATTGAGACTTAGCAGCGATTCACGTGCAGCTTCTAGGATACCCATTTTGACAACAACGCAACTAGAGAGTCCATATGAGTAATCTGATTTCTGGACCAAGGCTCAACAACATTCATGGGGATTCAACCCTCCCTAAAGATAGCTGGTCAGTAAGCCACCATTCGTGTTTGGTCCTGTTGGTGCTTGATAAGCCCTTAATGACCCCTCTTGGGGTCTCCTTTAGGGCTTGGCTCCCACCTTGACCATCTCCTCGAAGGCCAATTCTACACCTGCCTGGGGTGATCTACCAACCATGGGTCAACCATGGATCCAGCTTAACATGAAACATGTTGAAACATGTTGAAACATGTTGAAACATGTTGAAACATGTTGAAACATGTTGAAACATGTTGAAACATGTTGAAACATGTTGAAACATGTCTCCATCATTCTGAAATATTCTGAATCAATAAAATCTGCATGGCATCGGTTGTTAAGACTGCACTCAAAGTGGACCAAGTTGGACCAAGTTGGACCAAACCGCTGGAAGTTTGGCCTTGATCATGGCCACCATGAGGATAGCGTTGTCGAAGTACTCTTGCTCCTTTGAGCACCATCCCCAACAAAATCATGAAATTTTGGAATGATTGGAATGATTGGAATGATTGAGATTCGAACTATTCAAGCAAACATGACAGACATATAGAAGCATTGAAGAACAAAGTGTGAACTTGTTGTTAGCTGCTCAACAGCCAGGCACACTGTGAGTAGTGAGTCCTTGATTTGCATGCTGCCAGCAGGGGTCTTCTCAAAGCCAGTCTCAGCAGTCTCTTGTCTCCACTTCAGCAAGTTGGCATCCTGAGTTCATCTCAAATTCCTTTCCTCTTCTGCAAAGGAGAGTCCTCTTCATGTTTTCCCCTCAAAGGCGATTTTGTTTGTGCATCAGCTGGAAGGGAGGGGTTTCAATCTTGGTGACACCGGCTCCTATGATTTCATGGACTCTTCCCCAGGATTCAGCAGCCGTCAAACCAAGCCAAACACGCCATTCCTTCGTCAAGGCTAGCATTGGCCAGCCCTGCCAACTAACTGGGCAGCATCCACTTCCCTTCACCAAAAAAGAGAGATAGAGCCTTGCACAGTTTGCAGCTAAAGGTCATCGTTGTCCCAATCCTTCATCATGGTCTCGGAGAAGACTCCGGTGATGATGTCATCCTGATGTTTGGCCTTGGCAAGTGGATCATTGTCTGTATATCAAAGTCGAAAGAAATAAAATGAAATTGCAAATAAATATGTATATATATAAATATCCGCCGACCCCGGCCGACCGCAAGGGGGAGCGCGCCAGGGAAGAGAGGTTGTGGACAACAAGAAATACAACAACGGGTCGGGGACCAGCAGCAGCAGCAAAAGCCTCTGCAGCAGCAGGAGGAAAAGGTAGCCAAAATTCATAGCAGCAGCAAGAGGAAAAAGCAACCAAAATCATCATTTTCTATGCGTTTTCGTTAGGCATTTATGGGGTGCAATTTTGGGGTTTCTCCGTCCTTCACTGCCATGGTGTTTTCCCATCCAGCAGCAGCCAGCAGCAGGCAGGAGCAGGCAGCAGCAGGCAGCAGCAGGAGCGGCAAAGTTTCAATTTTATAGTAGGGTTTCAGAAGTGACGTTAGGCCCTTTTTTGGGGTTCCATTGCTACGTTTTTGCTCTTTCGGATGTGTTTCGAAAAGGGTGTCTGGCTGTTTGTTTCTTGCTTTGGAGGCTGTTTGATTGCAGCAGCACCACAGCAGCAGCAGGAGCAGCCACCAGTAGCAGCACCAGCAGCAGGCAGCAACAGGCAGCAAGCAGCTTCTGCCAGCAGCATGCAGCAGCAGGCAGCAGCAGGCAGCAGCAGGCAGCAGCAGGCAGCAGCAGGCAGCAGCAGGCAGCAGCCAGCAGCAGCCAGCAGCAGCCAGCAGCAGCCAGCAGCAGGCAGCAGCAGGCAGCAGCAGGCAGCAGCAGGCAGCGGCAGGCAGCGGCAAAGTTTCAATTTTATAGTAGGGTTTCAGAAGTGACGTTAGGCCCTTTTTGGGGTTCTGCATTCAACGCTGCGGCACGCTTGCGGATGGCAGCTTGGACTGTGGCCACATGACATGCGTTGCAGACCCGTGTGCCATGTTGACCCCGGCCGACGCAAGGGGGAGCGCGCCAGGGAATAAGACATTTTCCGCCGACCATTTGGAAGCTTGCAACAGCAGCAGCAACAGCAGCAGCAGCAGCAGGCAGCAGCAGGCAGCAGTAGGCAGCAGTAGGCAGCAGCAGGCAGTCACAAAGCCATGCAGCTTGTACTTATAAGGGTAAGCAGCAGGCAGGCAGCAGCAGCAATATGATGTTTCGCAGTCCGGGGCCCGCGTTTTCGTAGTCTAGGATTCCCGAAGAGATTCTCTAGGATTTAGGATTCTCTAGGTAGCAGCCAGCAGCAGCGAGTAGCCAGCAGGGCCAGCAGTCAAGAAGCAGGTAGCAGGCAGCCAGTCGAAGCCTGATGCACAAAAAAAGAGATATTTTTTCTAGGAATTCAGAAGGGGCATTAGGCAGTTTTTGTGGGTAAGTTTGAGCACGGTTTCGGCACGCAATTAGGTGCTGTTTTGCTGTGGCGAAGGGTCCCTTCTGGAAGCCTGATGCTTGCAGCTTGGAGCTACCAAACAAGAGCTGCAGGAGACAAATAAAGAGAGATTTTTTCTAGGCATTCAGAAGGGACGTTAGGCAGTTTTGGTGGGTAAGTTTGAGCACGGTTTCAGCACACAATTAGGTGTTGTTTTGCTGTGGCGAAGGGTTCCTTCTGGAAGCCTGATGCTTGCAGTTTGGAGCCACCAGACAACAGCTGCAGGAGACAAAAAAAAGAGAAATTTTTTCTAGGAATTCACAAGGGGCGTTAGGCAGTTTTTGTGGGTAAGTTTGAGCACGGTTTCGGCACGCAATTAGGTGCTGTTTTGCTGTGGCGAAGGGTTCCTTCTGGAAGCCTGATGCTTGCAGCTTGGAGCCACCAAACAACAGCTGCAGGAGACAGAAAAAGATATTTTTTCTAGGAATTCAGAAGGGGCGTTAGGCAGTTTTTGTGGGTAAGTTTGAGCACGGTTTCGGCACGCAATTAGGTGCTGTTTTGCTGTGGCGAAGGGTCATTTTTGTGGGTAAGTTTGAGCACGGTTTCGGCACGCAATTAGGTGCTGTTTTGCTGTGGCGAAGGGCCCCTTCTGGAAGCCTGATGCTTGCAGTTTGGAGCTACCAGACAACAGCTGCAGGAAACTAAAAAACAAAAAAAGATAGATTTTTTCTAGGAATTCACAAGGGGCGTTAGGCAGTTTTTGTGGGTAAGTTTGAGCACGGTTTCGGCACGCAATTAGGTGTTGTTTTGCTGTGGCGAAGGGTTCCTTCTGGAAGCCTGATGCTTGCAGCTTGGAGCCACCAAACAAGAGCTGCAGGAGACAGAAAAAGACAGACATTTTTTCTAGGAATTCAGAAGGGGCGTTAGGCAGTTTTTGTGGGTAAGTTTGAGCACGGTTTCGGCGCACAATTAGGTGTTGTTTTGCTGTGGCGAAGGGTCCGTTCTGGAAGCCTGATGCTTGCAGCTTGGAGCCACCAAACAACAGCTGCAGGAGACAGAAAAGAGAATTTCTTCTAGGAATTCAGAAGGGACGTTAGGCAGTTTTTGTTGATAAGTTTGAGCACGGTTTCGGCACGCAATTAGGTGCTGTTTTGCTGTGGCGAAGGGTCCGTTCTGGAGGGCTGATGCTTGCAGCTTGGAGCCACCAAACAGCAGCTGCAGGAGACAGAAAAAGAAATTTTTTCTAGGAATTCAGAAGGGACGTTAGGCAGTTTTTGTGGATAAGTTTGAGCACGGTTTCGGCACGCAATTAGGTGCTGCTTTGCTGTGGCGAAGGGTCCGTTCTGGAGGACTGATGCTTGCAGCTTGGCGCCACCAAACAAAAGCTGCAGGAGACAGAAAAAGACAGACATTTTTTCTAGGAATTCAGAAGGGACGTTAGGCAGTTTTTGTGGATAAGTTTGAGCACGGTTTCGGCACGCAATTAGGTGCTGTTTTGCTGTGGCGAAGGGTTCCTTCTGGAAGCCTGATGCTTGCAGCTTGGAGCCACCAAACAACAGCAGCAGGAAACAAATAAAATAAAAAAGAGAAATTTTTTCTAGGAATTCAGAAGGGACGTTAGGCAGTTTTTGTGGATAAGTTTGAGCACGGTTTCGGCACGCAATTAGGTGCTGTTTTGCTGTGGCGAAGGGTCATTTTTGTCGGTCAGTTTGAGCACGGTTTCGGCACGCAATTAGATGCTGTTTTGGTGTGGCGAAGGGTCCGTTCTGGAGGCCTGCTGCTTGCAGCCTGAAGCCACCAAACAACAACTGCAGGAGACAGAAAAAGAAATTTTTTCTAGGAATTCAGAAGGGGCGTTAGGCAGTTTTTGTGGATAAGTTTGAGCACGGTTTCGGCACGCAATTAGGTGCTGTTTTGCTGTGGCAAAGGGTTCGTTCTGGAGGGCTGATGATTGCAGCTTGGAGCTACCAGACAACAGCTGCAGGAAACAAAAAAACAAAAAAAGATAGATTTTTTCCAGGAATTGAGAAGGGGCGTTAGGCAGTTTTTGTGGATAAGTTTGAGCACGGTTTCGGCACGCAATTAGGTGCTGTTTTGCTGTGGCGAAGGGTTCGTTCTGGAGGGCTGATGCTTGCATGCAACTTGCAGCCACCAAACAAGAGCTGCAGGAGACAGAAAAAGTCGACATTTTTTCTAGGAATTCAGAAGGGACGTTAGGCAGTTTTTGTGGATAAGTTTGAGCACGGTTTCGGTACGCAATTAGGTGCTGTTTTGCTGTGGCGAAGGGTCCGTTCTGGAGGGCTGATGCTTGCAACTTGCAGCCACCAAACAAGAGCTGCAGGAGACAGAAAAAGACAGACATTTTTTCTAGGAATTCAGAAGGGATGTTAGGCAGTTTTTGTGGATAAGTTTGAGCACGGTTTCGGCACGCAATTAGGTGCTGTTTTGCTGTGGCGAAGGGTCCATTCTGGAAGCCTGATGCTTGCAGTTTGGAGCCACCAGACAACAGCTGCAGGAAACAAATGAAATAAAAAAGAGATATTTGTTCAAGGAATTCAGAAGGGGCGTTAGGCGGTTTTTGTGGGTAAGTTTGAGCACGGTTTCGGCACGCATTAGGTGCTGTTTTGCTGTGGCGAAGGGTTCCTTCTGGAAGCCTGATGCTTGCAGCTTGGAGCCACCACACAACAGCTGCAGGAGACAGAAATTTTTTTTTTCTAGGAATTCACAAGGGACGTTAAGCAGTTTGTGTGGATAAGTTTGAGCACGGTTTCGGCACGCAATTAGGTGCTGTTTTGCTGTGGCGAAGGGTTCCTTCTGGAAGCCTGATGCTTGCAGCTTGGAGCCACCACACAACAGCTGCAGGAGACAGAAAAAGATATTTTCTCTAGGAATTCAGAAGGGGCCGGGCGTTAGGCAGTTTTTGTGGGTAAGTTTGAGCACGGTTTCGGCACGCAATTAGGTGCTGTTTTGCTGTGGCGAAGGGTCCGTTCTGGAGGGCTGATGCTTGCAGCTTGGAGCCACCAAACAGCAGCTGCAGGAGACAGAAAAAGACAGACATTTTTTCTAGGAATTCAGAAGGGACTTTAGGCAGTTTGTGGGGATAAGTTTGAGCACGGTTTCGGCACGCAATTAGGTGCTGTTTTGCTGTGGCGAAGGGTCCGTTCTGGAGGGCTGATGCTTGCAACTTGCAGCCACCAAACAAGAGCTGCAGGAGACAGAAAAAGACAGACATTTTTTCTAGGACTTCAGAAGGGACGTTAGGCAGTTTTTGTGGATAAGTTTGAGCACGGTTTCGGCACGCAATTAGGTGGTGTTTAAAATTGCCACAACTTCCAAAGCACACCTAAGTAAGTTTGAGCACGGTTTCGGCACGCAATTAGGTGCTGTTTTGCTGTGGCGAAAGGTCCGATCTGGATGGCTGATGCTTGCAGCTTGGAGCCACCAAACAACAGCTGTAGGAGACAGAAAAAGATATTTTTTCTAGGAATTCAGAAGGGACGTTAAGCAGTTTGTGTGGATAAGTTTGAGCACGGTTTCGGCACACAATTAGGTGCTGTTTTGCTGTGGCGCAGGGTCCGTTCTGGAGGCCTGATGCTTGCAGCTTGGA